AAAAATGTTGCACAAATTAAAAGCAAAGCTCTGGTCTCAAAACAGTTTTGAGAACAAAGATTTGCTAGGTTCCTATTGTTCTATATAGGTTTTCAAATTTTTACCGTGAAATTATTGTTTGATGGTCAATAAATTTGAAGATTGAAATTCTCTGACTTTTTAATTACATCCTCTGATGTAATTTAAATATGACAGTGACTTAACAAAGTATACTAATACCTGCAAAAATTAAAACCAACAAATATTTATGATATAAAACAGAAAATATAACTAATAAATTTATTTTCTGACTCATTTCCATTGCATTTTTGTCTACAGGATGTAAACAAGGACATTAACAATTGAATTTGTGATCGTAAAGGGAAATAAGTCCACTTTTTTCATAAAAAAAGTGGAGATACACATTTTCTTTGTTATTCTTCAAGCTATAGCTCAGTGTAAAAATGAAACTTGTCCAACTTAAAGCATGTGTTCTATTGCTAATTAAAAATTCCAATGTCTGGGAAAGAGAGAGAAGTTCAGGACTAGTTTCTGATCCTCACACAAAAGAACTTTTATTATCACCTAGGAAATGCATAGATGCTTCATGACAACAGTAATAGACACTGAGAACATTACTGATTCAAAACATGGTGGTAGCTATTTTAAGAAGACAACCAAGTCCCTTGCTCGTCCTGGCTGGTTGTGAGCCTGGTGTGATTCTTTCCAAGTAAAGCAGTTAATGTATAATGAGAATATTTTGGTTACTCATGGCCTGTGAGTACATATATTGATGTGCATATCATGTACCCATTCATGTTGGCAAAACGGAAGGCAACTCCAGATTTGTCTTTCAAGAGAGTTTGTCTTAGTGGTTTTTCCAATAAACAAAATGAAAATAAAGTAAAATATATCCCACTTGAATATCTCCATTTCTACCAGAAAGTTTTGACATAGTCACAGAGTCAAGTGGATGATGATGATAATGAGTACATGCTGATATTATTAATTTTGTAAGAATATTGTTTCATGTCTATAGAGCACAATATGTTAATTTACTACAATATATTTATTCTATGACTATATTGTTTCATAAGTCCAAAAATTAAGAAATAAGTCCACAGTATAAAAACAGTTGAAAATTCTCCAAAAAATGCAAGTTTACAGTTACAGAGTAGCCCAACCAATCAATAACAACTACTTCTACAACTTTTGTGTAGACCATAAGTGTCTCAAATTAAAAATATGAAACCTCAAAGAGAGCAAGGTGGATGCAATACTTCATATTTGAATGAAATAAAAATGTGGTTTTCTACCCGAGTAAATGGGAAGGAAATACAAAATTATCACATTTTTAAGGACCTTTAGGTCTGTAAATGAATTAAATTAAAGAACCTATTCCTACATAGGTTTTAAATGTTATATAAATATAACAACAATTCAAACAACACAAATTATGACTAGGTATCCGAATTATCTACAGCAATTTTCAATCTATAAATTTCAATAAGCATTGGTGTAAATTTTGCCTTTGAAGAATATCACTTTTCAATCTTGGCATATTTGATTTGATGGTCCTTTTAATATTTGTACGGGATCATTCAAAAAATATGTTGGCTCTTAGGGAGCAGGGAGGTTTCTTTGAATGTGAAAAAAACAAACAAACAGTGGGGGGTTTGATGAAAAATGAATATTCTCACAATATTTTTAATGACTCAATGTGTAAATGGGATGTGTTTAAAGTATACTCAAATGTCATCTATTACATTTTTAATGTGTATTAGAAAGTGTGAACAATTATCAGTTACCTACCATGAATTCTCTGTATGTTGATAATTTGTTTACACTTTCAAAACTTGGTGTGACGTGTAGCTTAGCACATAT